GGCCTAACACGTAAAGGTTGACTGAAACCGGAAGGAGGTTCCACAGATAAATTACTTCAATGTATTTTCCAGTTAAGGGAGTCTGCCTAGCATATGATTCCAACAAGATGTTTGCAGTTTTGTCTAGCCTGCAGAGCATGGAATCTGTTGATCGGGCGTTGTGGATGGAAGCCTTGCGTGGAGTCTTGATTGGCTGCTTCAGAATCACGTAGGGCAGCTCTTTGATCATACGGAGGCCTGAGATTCGCTCCCAGAATTTCTCATTTAGGAAGTTTGAGGTGAAGCTAGGTAGGTACCTGCTCTCTTAAAGATTCCCGGGTGATCATCAGGACTTACCCCGACCCAGGTTGAATCTTTGAGTGCTCGGAGCTAAAGAAAAATGGATGTTTGCGTTCCACCAAAACTAACTGTCCTATCCTCCCTGTCCAAATTGTGTGGGAATGACTGCCATGTGCCGAGTGTGGGGAGGCAGCTGTGGGGGTGAGATACGGCGGCTGCTTGGCGCTCAGACCCTCTCGCAGAAGTGCCATGGGAATACATGTTGGCACATTCGAAGTGGGGAACTTTTAGCAAAGGCAAGTTAAAGGATTTACATGTCTTCAAATAAGTTGTAGATGTTGACAAGTTCCATAAATAATATGGAATTTTTTTTTTTTTGCCTTTCTAAACTGTAAAGTGTTTTCTTTTAAATTTCTAAGATCGCTTTGGAACCAGGGGAATTAAATCTTCTTTTATATGGGCGCCTTGGTGGCTCAGTTGGTTAAGCGACTGCCTTCGGCTCAGGTCATGATCCCGGAGTCTTGGGATCGAGTCCCACATCGGGCTCCTGGCTCAGCGGGGAGCCTGCTTCTCCCTCTGACCCTATCCCCTCTCATGCTGTTTCTCTCTCTCTCTCTCAAATAAATAAATAAAATCTTTAAATAAATAAATCTTCTTTTATAGCTACTCCTTAGCTTCAAGGCCAGAGTCTGGATGCATTCGAATGCCGGGAGAGATTACAACTCCCACAAGCAAAGGCTGCTTGTTAGTAAATACATTTGAGCGCGTGGACGCTGTTCCAGAGGATCAGTGTTTATCCTTCACCAGACGAATCATTTAGGGGGAGAAAGCCTGCCTGTTAAAAAGCAGGCCTGACGTGACTAATGGCAGTTCTGGCCCCAGGCTGGATAGTGGGGGCTCACAGAGGCCAACCTGGCTCACTTTCGGCTCCCTCTCAGCGTGGCAGGTTTAGAAAGCATTTCCGACTGAGGGCCCCAGGGATTCCGGTACAAAAATGCTGAAAACCCTCAAGTACAGTGGTATGTTTATAAAAATCACGGGGGCCCCAGTCCCACCCAAGAGAAGTCAAGGAAATGCGTTTGTCTAACCTCACAAAGGTTCTCGACCAGAGTACTATATTTGATTTAATCTATATCCGCAGCAATTCTACAACTGAATAATAAGCCACTTATTAGGAAAGTTAGGAGTGTGTTTCTGACTGGGACCTGGGCGGCTCTAGCTGTGTTGTCTCTCAGGGTCTCCCCAGGCGGCTCTCCCCAGGCGACTCTAGCTGTGTTGTCTCTCAGGGTCTCCCCAGGCGGCTCTAGCTGTGTTGTCTCTCAGGGTCTCCTTTCTCAAGTACGGTCACTGAAGGTTTGGGCCCAGCTTTCTTCCTCAGGGAGGATTTTTATGTGTCGCCCCATGAACAGATGGTTTGTATGTGGATGGCGGTGTGGGTGCCATAGCAATAGCTTCTCTGGATGGGTCCCCACAGACACTCTTGGGGGCGCCAGAGCAGGTGGAAAGGAAGAGCTGGTATGGGACGTGGGGGCCTTAAGAGCTTGGGAGGGGATCCTATGGCCAAGGACACATTCCAAGCATGTCCCAAGGCCAAGAGAGCCTGTGGACTCTGGGTTCCCCACGTGGTTTCCTACAGGCGGAGCTTCTAGGCAAAGATTAGGGTAAGGCTGGAGAGACAGACTGGTTCCAGGTGTGGTAGTGCCTGAGAGGTGGGCAAGCTCTGTATTCTCTCCAGGTAATCTCATCAGACCCCTGACTTTAGAAACCATCACTCTACCACTGAAATTCAGATAGACCTCTCTAGTTTCCACCTCCCTCCAGCCCTCCAGATCCCTGTGCTGGCTGCCCTTGTAACATCTCCAACAACATAACCATCTCAGAACTGAATTCCACCCCCTACCTGCTCCCCCCTTGCTTATCCCCATCCCCTCAATGATGACAAAAATACAGGAACTGTCTTTGATTCTTCTCTGTCCCTCCTCCCTCCACATCAAATTCACCGATGAGTTCTGCTGACTTGACCTTTAAGACAAACAGCAGAGACACCAACCTCTCTTCAGCTCCGTGAGCTCCTGTCTCCTCCTCGACCACAGCAGTAGCCTCCTCGCTGCGGTCTCCCTTGGCATCACCATGTGCAATAGACCACGTCATAGCCCTCACTATGTGGAGTGATTGGCGATCAGACTCAGAGTGAGTTCAAGAGAAATGAGGAGTAGGGGAAGTGACGCCATGTTTTTAGCCAACTCTTGGAGAGTCACTTTGAGAGGCAAATATGGGTTGGAAGGGGTGTGGGTTGGAGATGGTGAGGCATGTTTTGTTTGTTGATGGGGAGATATGGGAGAGGGAGCATGAGGTAATGCAGAGGGGGGAGGATGGCTGGGACCATCCTTTTCCCTGGTGTCTCAAGGCATGCAGCTCATCCACAGTCACAGGACAGGGGGGCCTGATTACCTGCTGCACAGGTGAGCTTTAGGTTGGTAGGCTGATGTGCCAGCCTGGGGTTAGCCCCCCTTCTCTCAGTGAAGTAGGAAGGGGGCTCATTGGCTGACAACGGGGAGGGTGAATTGGTAGAAGAGAAAGTATGTCAGAGAACATGTGCCTTCTTTCTGAACCTACCATGGTGCCTTTGACCAGCTCTTCCCCCCATCTGGAATGTTCTTGCTGAGGATTTGCACATGGCTGGTGACTTTGTGACATTCAGATGGTGGCTTAAATGTCACCTCCTCAGAGAGGCTCTCCCTGACCTCAGAACCTAAAATAGCCACCCTGCTACTCACAGTCACATCACCCTATTTTAATTCTCTGACTAGGGTTTGTTACTGAGAGATATTCAGCTTGTTAATTTTCTACTTGCCTACATGTTTATCACTGCATCTCTTATGAGATACCAGCACACACTAGGCCCTGAACCTGCAGAGAAGTCTTCATGAATAAGCATGAGACATCCCTTTTCCTTCAGGAAAAGATGCAAATGTGTCATGATGGAATACAATAGAACCCAACTTGGGTATATAGACTTGAATAGGCCCGAGATTAAATCTGTGTGTGTGGTGTGGAGGGTGAGTGTGCATCCTGGCCCCTTGGTTTCAGCAATGGACAGCTGAAGTTACGAGTGGCGTGTACCTTCTAGGCAAAGAGAAGATTTCTGAGTTCTCCAGGCCACTCGGGACTAACTTGAACTTCCTACCAGACTTCCTTTGTTGGCTTCCTTTAGTGCATGTGGGCATAGTTAGAGGTTGTTACCATTAGTGAATATTATTTAAATATCTGAACTAAGTGTATCAAGAAAAAACCTTTAAAATAG